TATATTAAAATTATTAAATTTGTTTTCGTATCTTACATGTTGTGTGCTTTATTATATATTGCTTATATAAAATTTATACATTTACATTTAATTATTAATATAATAATATATTTGGAAACATAGCAATATTTTTACAGTGCTAATTATAATTTCTCAATGTTAATTTTTTACTTCTTTTCTGAAGCTCGATCTAATGTCATCATTGGAATTGACAGAAACAGCATATAGACGTTCTGTTAATTGGCGTACTTCTTCATCTTTTGCTTCCAACTGACTAAGTAAACTCCCCACAAGAGATCGCAATTGGCTATTGACAGTTTTAAGTTCCTCTATAACAGTGCCAGTGTCTTTTGGATGTTTAAAGGTTTTTTCTTCAGCATCAGGTAAGGGTATCAAGCCCAAAAGGCTATCTTGCTCATCGATAGTTTTGTATATAGCTTGACGTAAAGAACCATCAAACTTATCAATCCTTATATTTGTACAATTATCTTTTTCAGTATATTTAGCTACATGTTTACTAAGAAGATCTTTCTGATGATTTTCTAATGTTGCTTTATATTCTTCGTACTGTACCTGTTTCATTCTAAAAACAAATATTTTTTTTTAATAATAGAAAGTCATATATAAGATTAGAATATAAAACAAATAATTTGAGATTTAAAAGTACCTGACAACAGCTGCCTGCCTTTTATGATAATCTCGTTGCAGACTGAGAGATTCTAAAGTGACAAATGATTGAATTGGTGTCAGAAATTTTGGCGTCTCTTGAGAGGATAATGTAGGTGCATGTATATGTACAAGGTTGGATTCGAGCTGTGCATGAGCCTCTGTCAAGAGATCAGCCACAGTTTCATGACACTTTGCTGCTTCTTCAAATTTTCCTCCGCGCAGTAATGCTTCTGCTCTTCTCTGTTTTTCATGTGCCTTAGATTAAAATATTAATATTATTATAACAATTATATATTAATTTGATTGACGTTGCACACATTTAATATATAATAAATACGAATAAAATATGCGGAAATAATTCCTGTAATAGGCCCTGATGTACACTCAAAGTGTGTTTATCGAATAGTATATATTGCATTGTTATATATTTTTATTTCGATAAAATATAGTGTATTGTCGACTCTCTTAATAGAGATTATATAAATAATTATTACTTTTTATTCAATTCATACAATGTGACAAATACATATAAAAATACACATAAAAATATATACTATCGATGAAAAGAAACAAGACTTACCAAATTCAAGGCAGACGTCTCCATGACTGTCCATGACTTGTCAGCGAAAAATTACAATGCCAAATAAATGTTCCTAGATTCGAAGGAAAGAAATAACTATAGTAAGCCTGAAGCCCGTATCAGACTACGCATTGAAAATTGAAGATTGAAGATTAAAGATTGGAATTTAACTAATCAGAACAAAAAGGACTAAAATTTCTTTATTCTGATTGGTCAAATTTCAATCTTGAATCTTGAATCTCAATCTTCAATGCGTAGTCTGATACGGGCATGAGCGCTGTTACATTTATATAACCAAAACGTTTGTCGGACGTACCGATTGGTTATCGAATAGAGAATTTCTGGAGTCTGTCAAGATTCTAAGAATTCTCTATCCAATAGCCAATCAGTGCATACAAACAGTTTGTCGTATGAATATAATATTAGCCTAACTTTCAATTATTTCTTTCCTTCAAGTAACCGATCAAGTTATTTTTTAATTCATGCTTCAGTTACCAAATCTTTAGAAAACGCGCGAAAAGAGTTTATTCTAGTGCATATTCGTAATATCGCAATACGTTTTACTTGCAGATTTTTTGTGCTTCCGTGCAACTTTCTGTATTTAAAAATTGAAAAGAGAGAGGAACCACGAAGAGAGGATTCGACTGTAGAAAATGTAAGTTAGATAACGTCGAAAGAAATAGTTCATTTTCTAGTGCACATTCGTAATATTGCGATATGTTTTACTTGCAGATTTTTTTGTATTTTCGTGCAACTTTCTGTATTTAAAAATTGGAAAGGGAGAGGAATCGAAGAGAGAACTTGACTATGTAGAAAATGTAAGTTAAATAATGTCGAGAGGAGTAATTCATTTTACAGTATATATTCGTAATATCGCGGTATGTTTTACTTGCAGATTTTTGTGTGCTTCTATTCTGTATTTAAAATTTGGAGAGAGAGGAACCGAAGAACATGACTGTAAAAAAATGTAAGTAAAATAACATCGATAGGAATAGTTGGTTGTAGCATTCCAAAATTATAATTACGGATGTGTTTATGACACATAACCAAAACTTTTTCTATATATGAGATAAAAGTAAATAACTGTCATACATAGAGAGAGAGAGAGAGAGAGAGAGAGAGAGAGAGTCTTACAACATTTGCTATATTTCAAAAGACCAAACAAAATTATATTTTTCAGCTAATTTCAAGTAAAGTTTGATGTAATATAATTTTAATTTCAAATTTGATTACAAAGTTTATAATGTCAATAATTTAAAATTGGTGATACATACATAACGACATACATAATGAAATAACGACTTCCTTTTCTATAAAAAAAAAAAATCGAATATTTTAATTAAAGAAAATCTATGATTATAAATTAAAACATTTAATATGTATAATAGAATAAAATGATTTTCAATATTTCTAAGTAAAATGAATGTATCTTTGTATGAATGAATCAGATCTATGTATGTCATCTCAATATATTGAAGAAATCTGCAATAGGAAATCCGAACCCTTTCCTAAAAACTTTGATTTCACTGGAAAGTGTTAGCGAATATAATCACATCCATTCCATCAAGTACTCTAGCAAGCTACGGCGCTTGCGCGCACGAGCGCTCATTCTAGTGAATGGGCACGGCTCGTGAACGCAAGAGTCGGCGGCGATGTATGAATGAAATAGTAAATATAATTGACAGAAGGGCAGGCGTGGGCAGGCCAGTCGTGCGTTCAGTCAGACCAGACCAGCAGAAACAGGCGGAATGAGGTGCAAGACGGGAATGGAGCGCGAATATAGGATCGAGGTCATCACCTCTCTATCATTTCAGGATAAGCGAGATCTTTCTTTTTTTACTTCTTTCGTTATATTATCGGTCCCATCAATTGAGCCTCATTCCATCAATCTTGGTCTAATTAGTAATCAAACCACTTTTCAAACTAGACTATTCCCATTAACAGCGAGAGAGAGGTGACAAAAAAAAATTAAACTTAGAAAATCATCCCCCAAAAAATTAACAAAGAGAAAAAAATATCTTGTAAACCCGGAAGATTTAAAGTTATTTTGTAATAGTGCTGTTTTTTATTGCTACAGAATAAAAGACGATTATAAAAAAGGAAAGCTTAAAATATATATATAATTTTTTTTTTTTTTTTTTTTTTATAGCAATGAATCCGCTTCATACGTGCTGGTCCACAAAGTGTGCATTGCATATTAAGATGGAATAGTAATAATGCATTGCAACTTTTGTTCTATATAATCATTTCCTTTGATTTTTAAAACATCCCTTTTTTGCTTCATTTTTCGCAAATTTTTCATATATTATATTTCCGCAAAAAATCGCGCAAATATTGTCTCGAAAAGATCCGCTTGTGTGTACAGTCAATGTATCGGTAAAAGAACGTCGAAGAATATGGCGAGTTCTTGACCGGTCTGTCTTCTCCTTCTCTTCACTTCCCCTCTCTCTCTTTGGAGTCGTCGAGTGACGACCAAAGACGGTAGGAAGGTACGGTTTCCGGTCGCCCACGCGACAATCTAGTCGGGGGGCTCTCTCTCCCTCTCTCTCCTTTTCTCTCATCGGCTAGCGTCGTTGTGAAAATCCTCTCGATTCAGGTGTATAGATAATGCTTAGGAGCGGTAAGTCTCTGGCGCAACAGTCCGCTACCGTAGTGGGGTGTGTGTGCGATGGGGTCTAATATTTGCGTATCTTTGCATGACGCACCCGTCACGCGTAACGTCACCTTCGCTTCGCGTCGCACGGTGTGAGATTTTCCTAATTTAGGAAGACAACTTTATGCGGTTGTATATAAATATAGCATTTAATTCGCACACCTATGTTCGCATCTATATATTTAAAATTTCATTATAATTATATAATTTTTATATAGGTTTTTCAATTTTTCAAAAGAACTTCCACATTCACTTTTAGACGCATTTCACACATGTTTGTTCTGTACAATTGAATCAGAGAAATCAATTCTGCAAAAGAGCAAATTTCACAGAAAATATAAAGAACAGCTTGAAAGTTGAAATTAAAAAAACACATACAACGTTATTAATATCACTTCTGATGAAACAAATTATCACAAATAACTAGAAATATTTTTAAAATGAATAGATATATAGTTAAATCTCTCCTAATCTCAAGTTTCATAGGGATCGAGTAATCTTTTTATTTTCATGTTCATCATTCTTTACTCATATTTTTGTGGATTCATATATTGGGCTCATGAATTAAATATGTCGCATACGTATTACATAAGAAAAAGTCATGCAGGGAACTAATAATGACTTTATTATAATATTTTTTTAAATAAAATAATATTCGCCAGAGTATGTTTTACTCGATTTCCCGATACCTCGACGAAGTGGTAATCATGGAGGCACGTGGGCGACCGGAAACTATCCCCCCCACATTCACATGCCCTACCTCTTCAAAGGGAGTGTTAAAGAGAAAGAGATTCATGAAGAGTGAGGAAAGAAAGTAGAGAAAAGAATTAAGATATGCATAAAACTGCGTGAAAGTAGTAAAATTTAGAAATCTAAAGTAAAAATGAAACACATGTCAAAAATAAATAAGTAATTCGATCCTGATAAAAAGAAAATGCACAGATATTGACTCTCTAGTGTGTGCGTGTGTGTATGATTGATTTAACAGTAATTTCAAATTAATTTTTTTCTTGGTATACAAGACGAAAAATTTTACTTTTATATTTATGATAACTTATAATACACACTGGATGTTTGCTTTTACTTAATGTGATAAGACATAAGTATATGTCATATTTAATTATGTTGATGTTTACTTGATTATCAGTAGATATTAGTAGATATTTATTCAATATCTACTGATAAATGATTTCAAAATGATTTTGATTATAAATATCCTAGTCTTTTTTAGTATTGACTTCACATTATAAAATCAAATTATGTGATATTAGAGAGATCAAGAAAAAAAACTAAAATTTAAAATACACCGTTTGTATAAGTCTAATTGCTTAACATCATATATAGCGTATTATATAATCGTATGTGTGTCTGCGAAGAGAGGAGCGTAAAAAAAGTAACCGCATGGAAAATAGGAATCTAGCAAGTGACACGTTAAATGATAAATCTGGCGTGTCATGCGGATGAAAATCATGAGTATATATACGAAGAACGGGGAGAAATATGGAGAAACAGAGGATAAGAGAGAGAGTGAAGAAAAGCAAGGGAAAAAGGTAAAAGAGAGAAAGATAATAAAACAAAAAGAAGGACGATGGCGATGTAGAAGGAAACGAAAAACGAACGGGTAAATAAAGATCGACCCGTCTCCCACGCTCGTGTGACCATTGTTATTATATATCCCGTGGGGTATTGTTCCCATGGGAAAACTGGACAGGCTCGTTCTACCACCTATACCTGCGAGTGCGACAAGAAGAGAAAGGAAAGAGACAAACCGAGCGCACCAATACACTGGCGTATGTAGGTCCACACACACAAAATATACTTACAAGTCAACGGACCACAAGTTTCAAGTAAGACGAACATGGTTGTATGAGGCAACGATGCACGCACGCATGCACGCATAACGTACGCACGCACGCGCGCGCGCACACAGATTTTAGATATGTGGGGGACGTTCACCTCGCATCTCAGACCCTCGTCGAGCTCGTTCGCGGGTCCAGAGTGTATGCATGCATGTTAGTACCATTCCCTTATGAGAGACGTTATAAGGAGTAGTATCCGAAGACATATATGTGCAAGTCACACATACACACACACATACGACTATACGCCACGAATGTCCACGATGGAGGTCTTTCGGTGGATGCTTGAGGAACAGGGTGCGGCTCAACCTACCTCGCTTGAATTACCTACCAATATTACTGTCTAGGTAGATATATCCAAACGCAAGCGACGCGCACAGCACAGGATATTATGCCATATTTGCATCCTTGATCCAGGACACGCGTGTATCCGTAAAGCGTGGATCCCCTTTTTCCTCTCTTTTGATGTATCTTCTCCGTTCCTTCTTCCGTGTGATCTATCATTATTTTAAAAGACCTTGTTCAAATCTTGAAGAATTTTTTTTAAATGATCAATGCGCATTCAAAAACAATATCTATCGTATCGGTAACAAATATTCTATATATTAAAATGCATTATTTAAGAATGACATATGCTTATGTAACAACATAAGCTTCAAAACTTTAATAAATTTTGCGCAAATAAGCCTTATATATTTCCTTATTTCTTCATTATTTGATGCGATATTCCTTTTGTTCATAAGTGGAACCTAAATAATTAAATAAGTCTATCGCTAATGAGATATTTCGTCAAATATAAGAGTGTTTTATATGTGATGGTCCAATGATTAATTTTTTATTCGAAATTCAATTAAATTAAACGCTAATTTAATTTATATTATTTTTGAGTGAGACAAAAATTCAATTTCGAAATGGTCCCTCCTATGCCTGCATTTGACGGACCGGAAGACGCTCATAAGGGACATTGATGCGAAGTATGTGATAATGAGATGGGTCATGATCATTATTTAAAAAATTTAGAGAAGCATAAATATATTTATATCCTCCTCTTCTCTATGCCATTTCTTTTAAATAAAAATTTTGCTTGCGCGCGATCATATATAAATTTTCATAAGAATATAACTCAAAGAGAAAAATAAAAGAATAGTTAAGAGATAAAATGATAGCAATATATTTCTTCGATATTCAGTCATTTATTTATACAATAATTATATGGAAATATTTGACGATGATATACAAATATTTAAGTAGCGGTTGCTTATCAGAAAAAAGATCTTTCTTTAATAGATGAAAGAGGGAACGCGCGTAAGAGAACGTAAATGTAATTAACATAATTATCGCACAGGATCGAAGGAGCGAAGATCGATGAAAAGATTATCGCCTGATACGACGCAACATATCACAGTAACCCGTTAAATCTCAAATTCTTCGCATTTTTGTATCATTCTAATAGTAGTAACATCGTCGAAATATGACTGCTTTCGGAATGATGCACAAGACTTACCTTACCAAACCGGATGATCTCATCACGCGGAAACCGCTTAATTAATTGATATCATAATGGAGACTGCAATGCATTTTTTTCATCATTATAATAAATAGCGTCTGTACTTTAGTAAAAAAGATACATAATGCCCAGAAATTAAAAGTTCTAAACAGATGATCGCGATTTGAGAAAAGAATTTTACATTATTTTCTATTAATATACATTATTTATATGCGTGCGCATATGTATAGGCTGATCTCTTTACATCTTCAATAGTTGTCTTTTTATAGCGTATTTTTTGTTACATTGCTTGCATTTTTATCCTTTTGTTGAATCTTTTATCCATAATATATATAAATAAGTTCCGACCTTATTAATAATAGAAGTAACAAGTTTTAAAATTAAAAAATGAGAAATAATTATTTTCAAAAAGATTTAAACAGAAAATGGCCAAGTAAGTTACATTTGCATTAATATGTAATTTGTACTTTCATTGAAGAAGATCCGAATAAAGGATTAGGGTTGTGTGAGAGTCGGGAGGATGGAGGGAGTAAGGTTGAAACATTCAATATCACAATTTTTTTCTAAAATAACCAGTTGATTTTTAGAATATTTTATAATATATGTATAATATATTTTCTAATTTTTTTTAGAGAAGTACTTAACGTTTTTAAAAAATATGTTAATTATTGCTCCTGACATATATACATATATGCATGCACGCAAGCATAATGTAAAAGATTATCGGTAGAATAATTATAATATAAAAGAATGAACATGATAGAAAAATATAAAATGGAAATATGTGAATTTGAAACTTTGACTAAGCAACTTCTGCCATCTCTCAGTGTGTGCTACAACCGTATCATAAGCTAAGTAGTTACATATCGGTGGTCGTTTCGCAAATTATTGAGCTGCGTAATGACTGAAATGATTTGAATCTCGCTTGAAAACGATTAAGTCCCATAACTTCCAAAAACTTCAAATTGTATTTAATTAGAAATATTTGATACAGAGTAATATAATATTTTATGGTACTTTCCTAAAGAAATTAAACGTTTTTTATTTTTATATTTGATAACATATGTCATTAAATGTTCTCTTTTACTTCACGCCAAGTCATTGCAAAAGAGTTCCGTCTCTAATTTTCATTGTACAAAGAAACTTCTTAGGCTCTTTTTATGATTATCAAGATTAAACAGTCTAGAATTATATATTTATTTTAGCTAATTTAATAGTATATGAACTGTTATATATCTTTCAATTTTATGTTTTATCTTTTACATATATTAAACACTTACAAATATAGTTCTGACAATCATGATGTATAAATATTTAAACATGATCCGCACAGATAGAAAGCGCATCTTAAATGTACGTTGCATTAAGACA